TGGTCCCTTATATTCCTTATAAAATAATTCATACATGTATATTTTCTTGTTTGTAATGTTCTTTTTTCATATATTTTATATTCTAGCTTTGTTTCAAATGCGTTATGTGTGATTAATCTTTTTTCTCCACTGGAGTTTTTTTTAGATTACTCAGATAATCTCGCTATTTATAGTTTAACTTTATAATGTGTTTTTTTCACTATTTGTTGTATTATATACCCATAATGTTTATTAATGTATATTGCGCATTCTGTAATGGGCCTTGGCCGTTGGATGTGTGATTAAATAAATAAATTAAAAATAAATGAAATATATGATGGTATCCATCACCTAATGCCCTGTGCAGCGGGCAGACACAACTGCTTCACCTGGGCATTTATCATTGGGGTGGTAGAAGCCAAATTCCCACTTTCAGAAAATGGAGAATCCAGACAAGACAAAATTTCGACCTGAGAGGCTGGCTATTCCTAAATGCCCCACAGCGACAACCAGCAGGCTTTGAATGAGTTAACACCTCCAGGATTTTCATGAGCTGAGAAGATGGCTGCCTCTAGATACCCCTCAGCGACAATAAGCAGATTTTGACGAGTTGAAAGGCAAGTCCTATATGCCACTGGAGGATGTACAATGGGCATAATGAGATATAAGTGATGTGGAGTTACCCCCCACCTTGGTGATACAAATCCACCACTTAATCTAGGAGACCTAATTAAACAAATTTTTAGTAGCAATTGAAGACTTTCTTTCAAAAACAGCACGTCCAAAAATGCTCAAATTAAGTGATAACTAATAATTATTGGCCAATTGTTGTATTTATCAACACAAATTGTGATTTCTTAAAATATTAACAAATAGAGATATTCACTGTTTCCTGAAAAATGCGGATTTTAGACATGTGTCGTTTTCAAAAAACGGTCTTCAAGTGTTATACTAGAAACTTATCCATCGATCACTCATAAGAAGTTATTATATTTTTTTTTTTTTCGATATAGGAGCAATAATATGCCTTTCTATCCCTATTTTCCACGATTTCTGTTATTGTTGTTCTTACCATGAAATCCGTACACAATACGAAACGTCAAATTCCCCCTAGTGCTTATTAAGAAGACATGCAAGTGACATGTCGCTATTTAAATGTGTGACCACTCTTCGCCAAATTAAAATAGGACCTAATAGGGGATATTTGAAACCCTAAACTATTAAAGCAATTGTCCCTTCTATTTCCCAGATACCCTAATAATTCAGAAAAACCCCTTTTAAGCACCTTACGTCTAATTTATTTATGCAGTGGTTAAGCATACGAATACGTGAATTTAATATTTTAATATTGCAAATATAAAAGCTACAAATAGGAAGTTTAAATAGAAGAATTTGAAAAATGGAAAGTTTCATGTTTTGTATAAAAATTAATTAGTATAGGTACAGTCTTTGAAACTCTTACATACACTGCTTCTGAAGCAAAATACATACTCCTTTTAATGGTTTCAAATGGAAGTAATTATTGTTTTCTTTTTTTATTCGTTCAGTTCGAAATCATGGATGGTAGGGGAATCAAAAGTGATATTTTGTAACTTTGGCTTATCATATTCAAGTATATATTTTACATTTTTTTCAAAAAAATAGGTAAAACCATTAGAATAAGCAACCGGAATTGCTGTATTGTACATTTTCAGTAGCAAAATGGAAATTAAATCAAAGAAATAAATGGATAGATGTACATTCAATAAGAAAAAAAAAGTACCTTTACTTTTGTTATAATACCAGTATTACTCGAAATAGTAGATATCAGAAAGTAGAAAGGTTTTAAATAAACAATTTTACGATGTTCTAGATGTCTGCCTTTGATTATGGTACGTGGCTGGAATGCATAGGAAACCAATTTTAATCAGTAATTCTATGTTTTCTTTCGAACTAAAAAATAAAGAAAATTAAAATTAAAATCGCAAATATACCAATTATTTTCTTTTGATAATACATTTTGATTTAACGTTATTATTTAATAGCAATTTTTTTATTTTGACATTATTTAACCTATTCTTCAATGAAAACTTATTGGACTTAGGCAACTTTTCATACATTATCTCGTAAATGCTGTTGCCTGCCTATGTTTTATTATTAACTTTTATTGAATATACTTACTTTAATATAATTAATTAATTTTTCTCTTGTTTTATAAATCCATTTACTTTTAATAAAACCAGCATATATTTTTTAATCACGAATTTTATTAAAAAATATATTGTCAGTATACGAAAAAATCGTGCGTTAGTTAGACGCTGCTGTCACGCACGGTGCCAATAGGTGTATATTGATATGGTATTCAATCCCCTCAATTTTCAATACTCTAGTTGGGTTAGGTTCAAAATTTAAAAAAAAATTAACGAACATTATTGCCGAATTAGTATTTACCAAAATATAATAAATATAAACTCTTCCTTGTCTACTTTACTTATCTTTACGTATTCCTGCTTTTGTATCTTCTCTAATCCTATCGCTCAATCTTTTTACTTCTTCTTGGCCTTTCTTAACATCTACTTGTTCTGATTCCTTTTGTATGGCAGCCCATTTTAAACTCTGCTTAATTATCTGCTCACCTTCTATGCTCCCTCAGTTTCTACTTGCTCTGGTTCCTTTTTTACTGCATAACTTTTGAAACTCTACTCACATCTTCTGCTTCCTTAGCTCTTTTTCTTGTCTGCTTACTTGCTCTGCTCCCTTAGCTTTTTTCCAAAAATACTTATTTTCCTATTTGTTTTAGCTATAACTCCTTTTTAACCTTATTGATATTCGTCCTTTATCTCTTTCAAACTTTATTGCATCTAACTTCAATTTTTTTCATACTAACTACTTTGTTAAATTTTAATAATCTTCCAATACCTGACAATTCTCTCATTAATATCATAATACTAAAACTATTTAATTTTAATTTTTAAAATCCCGTTTTTAGAAATGTAACTACCCCAATATCGATAAATATCAATTTGAGAAAAATCCAAAAAAACACGGGCATAATTTTGACCTACAAAAATATTTATATCAATACATAAAACTTTTTGTAATTTTTATGAATTTCTGAATATCTGAAACAATGCAATTTTTAAGACAGGTTTTGACAATTGTACGTTTATTTACGTTCCTAACTCTTGGATTTGAATAGAGTGTTCATTTGATATATTCTAAGTTAACTAACCTCTTTTATTACATCGCTTCTCATTTATTTGTCAATGTTGTTTTCTAGTTTTATTTGTACCCACTCTTCACAGCTGATTATTATTGAAGCTCCGATTTATGGTGCTTTTAGCGACCTCTCCGTTCAGACGGGACTCCAGCCACGGCATATTTATTATTCATAGAAGGGAAAAAGGAAAGACAATATCTTAATGTCGTGGTCAGCGTTTCAGGTCTCCAGCTAATAAGTCCTTCTGTTCCAGAAGTCCATTATCTCAACGACTTTCGGTCCTTGGGGTAATTAACGAGAACAAGATCATAGGGAGCGGTAGGTACCTTTGGAAATTATACAGATGTGTAGGACTATTTGGTTTGATATTAATAATGTTCATTGATTTGTGATTCGGCAGGTAATATGTTATTAGTATTAAAAACTGGTATGTAATGGAAAACTGTTAATTAAGAAGTTACGAAGACTCATTAGAACTAATAATATAGCCAGTACATAAATTCTTTTTCCTACGACCTCTTAGAAAAGTGACACATATCGCACTATTTAGTCTTACTGAAAGTGCCCTATATCACACGCGTGTGGATAAGCATCTACTTTCCACCCACAAATATGTCAAAAGTGTAATTTCTATTTTGATCTACGTAATGTCCATAATAATAGTAAAATAGATTTGATGATCAAATCGTGAATATTGATTTTTTTACAAGAATTTATTTATTTTTAACAAATCATTAAAATAATTTTAAAGTATCATTAGTTTTAGATTTTTTTTTAATATATTTAATTAGATAATTCATTTGACAAGCTTGTTAGCTCAGTTCACAAAGCGCTCAACTTTATCAACTTTGCGGCAATTTAATCCCATTACATCATGCGCCACAGGGAAAAATAACTACTATATATGTACAGAAGATAACAATGGAACTGTAAAATCCAGTAGATGTATAAAAAAAGTTACAGCCGATTTACATTAATTCAAGTTCTTTGTACTGAGGACGTGGTAGTGAAAATAAATTAGAAAGAAACCTGAAAAACAGATGTCCAAGGTCTCATGACCTCATGGTAAAATAACAAGGAAGTACAAATTGGTGAAAATCTTTCCTCTCGAGGTGGTCTGCAAGGAATAATGAACTGGGACCTGAGTCGTTCTGTGGTATCAGCAGGAGATTTATTGAGCAGTCGAAGAATCGACCATTAAAACAATATCTTGGGGCGAGGACAACTACTTTTAGGTGATCCATAATCAGAAATTATCGAAAGACTGTATATGTTTTAGCAATAACAAGCTAGGTATAGTAACTGAGAGTTTTTCCGAGAATTGCCAACCCCCTATGGTTGGTCACTATAAAAGAGGACTATCTGCCCAGCTTAAAGTCACTCCAAATCCAAAAATTCCTTGAGAGGATAGGTTTGGAAGGGTCATTATAGACATAGAGACTTCCGCGTTGTCTTAGCAATAGAACTATTGATATTTTAAAATATTAAACATGTGCTTCGGACACACAAAGAACTTCTAAACATATACTGAAATATAAAAATGCCTTTCGCAGTTTTAGCCTATCTCTTTATCAGGGTTTTACCTGTCGGTGGATATTGGGCTCCCTTATGGCGTTATTCCTTCTATCCAGTAGCCCCGCTAACTTTTAGTAAGGCACTTACTCTGACTAATTAGACACCTAAGGTGATTTTAAACTCATATCTATATTTTTCTATATCCGATGCTGCCACACTTTGTTCTGTACCTTGAAGAATATATTTGTTAAAATATGGATAAGTAAATTCAGCTCATTTTTATTTAAATTATTGTGCTTCATAAGGAAAAACGTCGAATTACAAAAAAAAACTACTTAAATTAGTTTAACAAATTTATTTAAAATATATCTTATTTTTTGTACGGATATTCGGGATGATCCACTAGGCTGAAACAAAACATACCACTATTAATCACTTTTAGAAGTTTATAAAAAATATATATAGGTAAATAGTTGTTTTGTATTTAAAATTTCAAGTCCACTTTCATTTTGTTTTATGTCTCTACCAGCATAGGCGGATATCTATTATGGTACAAATACAAATCATGCGCTCTACGCAAAAAGTGTATATAGCGCATGATTTGTACCATATTATTATGGTTTTCATGTGTGTTGAAACAAATATTTTGTAAATCGGTTATTCTTGAAAGATTTAAATTAAAAAGTAATATAAATAGGTACTATTGTATATTTACATTATACTTGTAAACTATACAATATATTTTATATTTATTTTTTTTGAGAATGTATTTGCACAGAAAACACCAAGTTTTCGCCTCTCCTTGATTGGTATTCTCGGTTCTAACAGCAATTATAAAACACAATAATCAAGTCATCAGGCCTGAAGGAAAAGGTAATCAAAGGTACTTGACTATTGTGCATAATATGGGTAATATAAACATAAAAATTTTTTGAATATATTCCTGAGTTGTCTACTAATTTAAAATTTGTCGGTAAAATAAACGACAACCATTTTTCTGTAGTTCTTTTTTTAAGATAAAGAAGTAAACACAGAAGGTGAAACAGTCGTCGATACAGCAATTAGAGATGAAAATCTTAGACATTAACAAAACTGGTACATGCGAATTTGTTTATTCTGCAATAGAAGTACAGAACATGACAAGATGGTCTGGACTTTTCAGATCGACATATGTTTCTTGAGTAGAAGATAAAGTAACTAGTTCGCCTCCATTTTCAAAGAAATCTAAAAGGAGAACTATTAACTTAATAGATTTGTTAACACTGATCTCTTCCTTTTGGTAATTTCTGTTACATACTTGCTTTTATAGATGACTATTGACATATGACCTTCGTTTATTTCTTAAAATCAAAGAAGGAGGTGTCATTTAAAAAATTTTAAATTATTACTGGGAATTAAACTGACAATAAATTAAATGTCTATGGTATTAAATATGTAAACAATTCTTTAGGATATTTTTAAGTCAACATGGCATAAGCCATAAATGGATATTTCCCGACACTCCCCAGCAGAACGGTGTCGCAGAGCATGTTCTGAACAATTATGAACAGAACATGTATCCTGATGTATAATGTTGGATTTGGGAAGTGGTTTTGAGTTGAAGCTGCTAATACTGCAGTTTATTTGAGAAACCGTATTCTTACAGCAGTTATTCCAGAGGTAGGTTTGCCTCCTACAAGCACACATCAACCCAAAAAATACAAGTTTGACCAAATGGCAAACATTACAATGATTTATTCGTTGTTTACAATGAAACTTTGTGATCCTGAAAAGCCGAAGGATGCGTAATTGCAAGTGATGAAATATTTTGTAAAAATATATTTTGTAAAAATATATTTTGTGAAAATATATTTCAAAAGCATGTATAGGGTGAGAATAAGTCACCTCCATTAGATGTTGACTTTGACATGTATCTGTCAGCTGTCTTACTGTACCAATTAGGCATTCCAACGACCTGTCCAAATGGCTACCAGTGGGTAATGACAGTTTAGATATGGCAACCCTGTTGTCATGTTGTCATTAACAGGGTCAATGATGCATATATAGTTATATAGATTGCTCAAAGCTGGTCGTTGACGAGCGGCCATATTGCCTAGAAAATATTTATTAATTTGAATCGGTTTAGCAAAAATGTGTTTTAAAACCAATTTTTAGCCTTTAGATATTAAAAAAAAAATAATTGCTTACATTTTTACTTCAAGGCATAAGCTTATGTTTATTTTGAAAAATATGGATGATCAATCTATGTAACTATCTATTTCATTGACCTTGTCAAATCACCAGGCCTACAGGGTTGCCATAATTTTGCCATATTATAACCCGTCAGAACCCACTGGTAGCCATTAAGTTTGGAATGCCTAATTGATAAAAGTAGTGAGATGAGGTTTAGAAGTTGAAAATAATTGCTGAAGTAGATCAGATTCTTGAGTCGAGAAGTGAGTCTATTGCGGAAATAGGTTAGATTTAGCAAGAGTAGGTGAGGTTCTGGATTCGAATATTGTTTCTATTATTAAAATAGGTGAAGTTATCGAGTCTAAAAATGATTCTGAGATCGTAGTAAGTTAAGAGATAATAATATATCCTAAAAGACATACGAATAAACCAACAAGGTGCACCGATGATGAACTGCATCTTACCAAATATTGTCTGGACTAAGTCATGCAGCTTGGAAAATGGCAATAAAGCAGAATTATTAAGCTTTAATGACAAATTGGACATGAAAGTTAACTGAACTTCCAAAAAGGAAAAAGAAGTACTTGATGAATAAATTAATGGTTGTTTAAAGTGAAAACAAATTGCAATGGACAAGTAGAAAAATACAAAGCAAAAGGTTTTATGTAAAAATGGGGCTTAGACTGTGATTAAACGTTTTCTCTGGTTGTAGGTATCATAACTCAAAGAATGCTTTTAGCTCTTGTACTAGATCAAAATTTATATATTACATATTATTGATTAAGTAAATGTAATCCCTACATTTTTTAATAGTGAGCTGAAGGAAAAGGTACACAGCCGAAGGAGTTTGTTGTCAAAGTACAAGAAATTATGATTTGTAAATTGGAGAAAGCACTTTACGGACTATAGTAAAATTCCGATTCATACTCAATAAAATACGTTTTAAAAAATACGTGAGTAAACCTTGTGTATTTACCAAAGTTGCACAAAATATTAAAAGTGTTTAATATGAAAGACCTAGATCCAGTGGAACACTTGCAATACATTTGCAATAGATTATTAAATGTATATCAAACGCGTTATACTGAACAAGTTCTTAAACACTTCAGAATGATGAATAATTGTAATATGGTTGGGACCAATAAATGGTCTATAAGATTTCTAGAATTGACGGTTTTAGATATTTTCTTTAAAATATCACATCACTTTCGCATATAAAGATACGGAAATCTAAATGTCGATTCTCTATTTTACAATAAATTAAACAAGGTATAATAGGACCACACGTGAAACAAATAAAGTCTGTTTAGCAGCGCATTACCTATTCTGTGACTTCCCGCACGGTACGTACCACTTCCACCTAACTCCCTAATGGATTTAAGTATAAAATAGAGTAACCTTAACCTAATTTCATAATAAAATTAATACAATACCCTGGAATAAAGCTCATGTCGAACACCCTTGCTTCATCACCTCTGTCCAAACCTTCCAGGGATTTGATATCTTCCTGGTCCAATTCGAAATCAAAAATGTTAATATTTTCTTTCAATCTCTCTGCACTCGAACATTTTGGAATGGTAACGAGATTTTTTTGAATCAAAAATCTAAATGCCACTTGAGCAGCAGTTTTGCTATGTTTTTTAGAGATCTTTTTAACTACTTCATTTTCAAATAAGCTTGGTAACCTGTAAAATAAAAAATATTTAAAGAAGAGAATCAACATGTCTGAGTACTGTTTTTAATTTAGTGTATTTCCTGAATATCTAAATGCTAAATTTCATTAATTCATTATAAATTGGGTTTACTGTAGTATAGAAAAAAAATTGTTACTTACCCTTCTCTCCTAGTTGCCATTCCTGGATTACCCAATGGTCCGTAAGCTACAACAACGATGTTCTGACTGAGAGCGAATTTCACCAATTCGCGATTTTGAAAGAACACGTTAACTTCCACTTGAAGATTGGCCGGTTGAATTTTAGCAATTTTCTGAATCCTTTGAATTTGTGATATACTAAAATTGGACACTCCTATGGTCTTGGCTCTTCCTGCTTCTACTTGCTCTTCCATTTTCTAAAATATAGTTTTAATATCTATTCCAACTTTTTGGAATGTACTTACCTTCCAAACTGAAATGAAATCAGTCGGCTGCGGAACAGGTTTTCCATCAACAATTTTCATAGCAACGGGCATATGAATCAACCACAGATCAACGTAATCTAGTTGAAGATTTTCCAAAGATGTCTTCAAAGCTTCTTCTACTCGATCTTCGTACAGACTACTAGGAGCAAGTTTGGTGGTAATAAATAAGTCTTCTCTATTTACTTGTCCAGATAATAGCCATTCTTTTATGACTTTACCGACAACGTGTTCATTCTTGTATACTGTAGCTGTGTCAATGTGACGGTAGCCTAGTTTGAACGCTTCGTTTAGAACGTTGGTAAGAATTTCTTCATCATTACTCTGTTAAATAAGATTTATTATTATTATTATTAGATAACTAACAAAATCGAGTTGATTTTTTTTATAGATTAACTATTGTTGCGCTTTTATAGCTTTAAGCGAAGATGGATAAAAATAGAAATGCAATTATTTGTCGACTCTACACAAGAATAACTTATTTTAAAGTATATTTTATCTCAATAACTAAAAAATATACTGACAATTAATTCGACAGAATTGTCACTTACAAAAATGTTAAAAATAAGAGTGGTCGGGTGACCAAAATATGAACTGTGATTGGTGGATTTCATTTTTTAAGTGGATTTTGTTTACATTCTAGAATGGATATAAAATTATATCTGATCAGTGGACTGATATGTAGTTTCCTAACATATTATTTAGTTAAAGTGTGAATAAAATTAACTCGTTCAACTTTGGCTTCTGTATCGTTATTACACTGTGATCTATGGATGTCTATAGATAAAGCCTCGGCTTATCAAGCATTCAAGTCCCGGTATAGCCATTTTTTGCATTTTTTTGTTTTTAGTAGACCTACCTAATCACTGTTTGTTTTTTAATTTTTTTTTATTTTTCATTTCTTTTTATTTTTTTTTTTTTTATTTACATACCGAACTATTTTTCATAATTTTATTATATTAAAATTCTCATTTGTCTCATATTCACATTTGTTTTATATTTACAATTTGTCATATACAGAGTGACCCATTTAAAAGCGGACCACCCTCATATTTTTTTATTTATAGAGCGATTTTGACGCATTTATTTTTCAAATGGGGAGGGGACGGTGTATTTTTGGAGCCAAGCGGCATCCAGTTTTTTTAAAAAGGCCTACTAGATCACTTATTAGCAATTTTTTTCTAGTGAGAATCGGCGTCCTCTGAAATATACCTATACCAAGTTTCATGACAAAATATTCAATAATAACGATTCTATTACTTAAAAAAAGGGGTGGGTGGCTCAGTGGTAGAGTCTCTGCCTGTGCATCCAAGGGTCCCAGGTTCGAATCCCACCATTGGCCAAGATTTTTTTACTTAATTTAATTATTTAAAATTAATTCTGATGCCTTGGTAGGATTCCCCACTCGGCCATTCACTGTTGGGTTCTAATTAACAGTGCTGTTCCTAAAGTGGCGCTGGGAAACAGTAACAAAGCCTACACATAACTCGAGGCTAATGGCCTTAGTGGTCAACGCCGATGACACCAAATTAAAAAAAAAATACTGACAAGTTATTTATTATGCACTAAGAAGCTTTGTATCTAGTAACCCATGCGATAACAAAAATTAATAAATAGGCCTAGGTTTAAAAAAACCTGTTCGCCGCTTGTCTTTAAATACACCTTTGCCCCTTCCATATTTAAAAAAAAATCGTCAAAATCGTTCTATAAATAAAAAATGTATGAGGGTGGCCCGCTTTCAAATGGGTATATTTATATTTTTCAATTATTAGTGATAAAGAAAATACCTTTGCACGTGTAGGTAAAAGTTAAATCTTTGTTCCGCTACTATCTCTATTCTAAAATTTTATTTAATAAAAAAAATATATAGAGACAATCGTTAAAAACTAACTTGTAATAGAGGGAGCGTGTATCCAAGATTGGATACATACTAAAATAGAATCGGTTGAAACTCCAAAATTGAGATAAAAATAACGCTGTTGCTAGGTAAACGCTAAAGTGTACACAAACAAATTATATACACGCGGAACGTCATACTGTTTTTGTGAATGCGTCTTGTTTGTTTTCATTTACGCCGTGACTAGCAGTAGTATTTTATAAACCTTAGAAGCAATTTCACATACATGAACAAATAATAATAATGCCGTGACAACAAGAAAACGAAACAACGACTTCTCGTAGGGTGGCGGCTTCGCCGCCACCTGAAAATTTCAATCCATACCTGGCTACGCCGACCGGCAAAAACACCAGCGGCCTAGACACAGCTCACCTACTCTGTCAAGACGTTTCGCGTGTATATAACTTTTTGAATTGCGTACAAGTTAGCATGTACCTAGACACTGTGAAAAAATAATTAATTAAAGTGGTTTATTTTTTGTAAAAGTATTGCCTACTTCTAATTAAACAAATTATAGAAAATTAATACTAACCAGAAAAGTTCCAAGTCCTAACACTGGAATTTTGTTTCCACCATTATTTTGGTAAAGCATGTTTAGTTGGTTGATGTGTCCAATTAATCAGCTAAAAATAAATTTCGTTCACTTTCTGTTGAACCGTACTTGCAACAAAAATGAAAACTGGATATATTATTATCTAATTCAAACAGATAAGATATTACGTTATTGTTAATTGTTTTAAAATAACGTTGTACTTAAGATTATTAAGAGTACCTATTTATTTAATATTTTATATAGATACACAGACAATAGTACAGTGGATATGTACAATCCACTCGAGTTGTACTGTGTATTTTTTCTACGACCCTCTAACGAAATTCTACAAATTAAAAAAATTATTTTAAATTATTAAGACAAAATAAATATTTTAAAATAATTTATAAAATAAAATAAATATGAAAAAAAAAATAGTCCTGTGCCGGATATGATCCGGGAATTTTCGCTTGAAAGGCACAAACTGTGTCCTCGTCTCCACCGTAGTTGTAAGATTGTAGTTCAAATACTTGTAATTAAATTAGTTTCATATAGTTTGAATAAAATTTTATATTTTTAAAATATTGACCAAATAAAAATAAAAAGGCTATTATTTATTGATTTTACACAAAAATAACTCATTTTAATGTATATAATATTATTCCAATAACTGAAAAATATAAGTACTGATAATTAGTTTGACAGAATAGGCACTTTTAAAAATAATAGTAGTTGAGTGTCCAAACGCAATAGCATACTTTTTCGTTTTGTAGTCTGTGCGGTAGATCAGTTAAGCGTTTCTCCATGTGGATGTAGAAAAAAGACTATATTTATATTAGTAGATCGTAGTGGGAGTTTGTCTAAGAAGGCAATGGAATCTGAGACCCGTATTTATAAATCGATTTCAGGTGAGTCGGACTCAGCCAAGTCATCCTTGAACCAAGCGCGTAGCTACAGTCTGTTCGCTATACTTACGTGGGTTTCGGATTAACAAAATTATGCAAATTAGTCATTGACAACCAGTTCCAATAAGCCTTTTCCCAAGAAATTAGGTAAAATTGCCCTAATGGTCAGATTTAAATTAAAATAACATTAGGGTAGGTACTAAATTTGTTACAAATATTGCAGTTGAATTGATTCTTTGCAAGTGTTGACATGGTATGTATATTGTAAATTTAATGGAAATTTTAAAAATGCCTAGACGTGTGTTAGATGTAGATAGTCTAATTTGTAGTGTACATACGTATTTTACGGATGAAAAAGAAAATGGTGGTCCTTTAAAATCGGTAATGTCTGTACAACAACGCGTATGCGATGCTCTAGGAATTAGTGAAACCAAATTAAGAGGAGTATTACAAAATCACAATAGTGAACTGCCGAAAGAAGATCACCGCAAAACTCGCCAATCATTGAAAACGAAAGATATTCAAGATGGAAAGAAATTTGAAATTCGTGATACCATTTATCCAATGATTGCCAACAAGGAACATGTGACCTTAAATACAATTCTCTCGGACTTAATAAATAGAAAATTTGACGACATTGGCAGAACAAGTCTATGGCAAGTGATACATAACTTGGGTTTCAAATTTCAAAAGGAGGATAACAGAAAGGCCCTTTTGAAAGAAGTTCTGTCGTGTACAAGAGAATTAACTTTCTAAGAAAATGTTCTAAATTTAAAGAAGAAGGGGTGAATTTTATATATTTAGACAAAACATGGATATTTTCTAGGGGTGCAACCAAGAAAATATGGCAAGATGATAACGTAAAGTCCATCAAACATACCGATGAAGAAGGGAAGCGACACATAATTTTACATGCAGGAGGGAAATCGGGTTTTATAGAAGGTGCTGATTTAATATTTTCATCTAAATCAAAATCCAGTGACTATCACGATAATATAAATATAGAAATGTTTGTAAAATGGTTGCATGAAAAACTTCTCCCAGGTTTAAGTGAGCCCAGCGTAATTATTTTAGACAATGCACCTTACCATTCTGAAGTATTAAACAAAAGTCCAACGAATTCTTGGATTGTTGATAAAATTAAAGAATGGTTGATAAAGGAACATATACCATTTCCTCAATATACAGTGAGCACCATAAGTTTTATCCCCCCCTAACTAACTCGTTACTGGGGTCTTGTTAGGAAAATCGCCGAGACAGGTCGATTTTTAATTTCTACAATGTACATTTTTGCATGATTAGTTAACCCTTAATTTCATCCCTTAGTGGAGGGTAAAAACCCTTTCGAATAATTTAAATGGCATGGGGTAGTGAGTGAAAGGGGGTTTTATTCTCTATTCAACCGTGCAAAAAAAAATTAAAATTTGCATCATTACATGTTGATTTATTAATGTTTAAAAATAACAAAACCTCACAAAATAGGAAAGCAACTAGACTAACAGTGACCTTCTAATGGAAAAAAGTCTTACTTCACGTCTGAAACAAAACCGAAGTCATGCAGGGCCGAATTTTAATTCTAAGGATGAGTGCGCTACGTTAATTTCCGTTATTCTGAAACAACAATTAGGCGAGAATTAAGACTTAAGATGCTCACTGTATATTAAAATCAGAATTATTACGCTTGGCAAATATACACGCAAAACCAAAAGCCTTTCTGGTTGATAAGATTATTGAAAGTTACGGTCATCAAGTTTTACGTCTGCCACCGTATATCATTGCCAGTTTAATCCCATCGAATATATATGGGGAATAGCAAAACAATATTATGACAACCATATTGGGCCTAATGGTTATAGTGACGACGCAGTTCGGGAAACTTGGCGAAAAGCACTTTCAATTGCAACTCCAGAAGTGTGGCGGAACTGTATATTCAAGTGCGAGAAACTAATAGAAGATTGGTGGACTCGTGAAAATAAAATAAACGAAATAACTCCAATCATAATAACAATTAATGGTGATGACAGTGATGATGATGACGATTATGATATTTTGGATGATAATGACTGATTTTCATTTTTGTTGGCAAGTTCAATTTTTTTATTTTTCATTTGAAATTCTCTACATGGAACAAATTTTTACGTTAGAAAATATTTTATTTGAGCTAAATAACCCTCTTATTATACATAGACCATATTTTCTGTGTAAAGTGTAATATAAAATTATTATTAGGTTTATAATAGTCACATTAGACTCCATTAATGAAGAAGTTTAATTCTGCTCTCAATTATACAAAAGATTCTCCATTATTATTTAATTAAAAAGTTGTACATTATTTTTCATTTCATTTAACCAGTTGATATTTCCCCAAAGAACAGGTCAAACTTTCGGGTACTTACCTGGAAATGATCATAAAATTTTTAATCCGAAACCCGCGTAAGTATAGCGAACAGACTGTAGGTTGTTTTCTTGGGGGGTAACACTTTTCACATTATTAGTGAATGCGCAGCGCGTTATCTTAGAATATGGTACCAATGTAATGTCTAGAGTTCATATGTGTATTTCCAGAAAAAAAGAGTGAGTTTTGTAATGAAGTTTTTAATTTTTTAATATTTATACAGGGTGTTTCAGAATAAAGTACCATAATTTTGGGGATTTATAGATCTTAATCAATTATAAAGAAATGCTAAAATTAATATTCCTATAAACGTCTCAGTTTTCATTCTACAAAGTGAATTTCATAAATACATATTTTCTAAATATCTTCCCTTACAGTAAAGACTTTAACATAAAAATATGTATATGATAGGTAATCGTTATTGTTAGTTAACACACTATTTCGATAAATTACCATAACCCACTGTCGTAGAATGAAGGGTTAAAGAAATAATTTTATTCAAAACTTTTTGAACACCCTACATTTCATAAAACTTAAGATTAATAAATATTTCTCACGCCATTTGTCACAAAAAAGGGACTTCTGGTTGATTTTTGTAGACTATTCCATTTCCGAGGTGATAGAACTGATTTATTTTATACAGAGTGTTTTAAAACATGTCTTAAATATGGCTAATTTTAAGTACAATTTATTTAATTTTGTCAAATGCAACACACTGTATATTATTTTCGCATAAAATTCCTTATAAATTTACCTATCCAACGATACCAACATGTCCCAATAGTTCGTAACTGATCGATAGCTGTTTCAATATTGGAAATAGGAAAAACAAATTAATATAAAAGTTTTATGACCATGTTTTATAAATATTCTTAAATATACAGGGTGGTCCATAAACGAGGGGCTGACCAAACCTATCCATTGTTATATTTGTTTTTACATCGTCAAACAACTTTAATAGACTTCATTTATTTGCTATGTTGTATATAGGGTGTTTTAAAATGAGGGGTAACGATTTTCTCATTTTTTTAAATGGAATACCCTATATGTCATACCATTAATTAATTAATACAGGGTATTTCATTTAAAAAATTGAGAAAATCGTAACCTTATGTTTTGACACACCCTATATACAACATAACAAATGAATGAAGTCAATTAAAATTATTTGACGATGTAAAAACAATCAAATACGTATTACTACCAGCAGGGTGTTTTGCTTTAAAAAAGTATAGATTTGTTCAGTGCCTCGTTTATGGACCACTCTGTATATTTAAGAATATTTGTTAAATATGGTCATACAACTTTTATATTAAACATTTCTTCGTAGTTCTAATAATAAAACAGCTATCGATCAATTATGCACTGATGGGACACCCTATATATGTGTTATTGACTAACACAATGGTATTGTTACATGGGCACATTTATAGGGAATTTTATACAGTGTGTAGCGTTTGAAAAAATTGAGTAAATTGAACTTAAAATTAACCATATTTAAGACATGTTTTAAAACACTCTGTATAGAATAAACCAGTTGTATCACCTCTATTCGTTAGCTTGGTATTTTGTAAGTTTGTATATTAAACAATTTTGAAATTAATGTAAACCTACCTAAATTATGATAATATAATTTGGGATCTGCATCATTCTCTAATTAAAAAAAAAAAAAATGTTTGGCAACACTGAAATATTTTTTAAAAATATTCTAGGGTTAAATACAGTATTCCCAAGCCATTCTAAAAATAGAATAAAATATAGAGTGTTGTATTTAAAAACATACATTTCTATTTGTCAGGCAAAAACGCAACACCCTGTATATCCAAAAATATTTTTAAAATATGTATTTTTCAAATCCATATAACTTTTATTAAAACTTGTTTGTTTGTCAATAACACTAATTGAAATATTGAACAATTACGAACTAATGCGACCCTTTATATAAATTTTAATTTTCAATTTGCAGGAATATTATTATTTTAGATGACAATGTTTGAGAAACTCTTTGTTTTATTGTATTTATTTTATCTCTCTATTTTTGTTTAATATAACGTTTAAAAAAATATTGATATTGACTATGGCTTGGGGGGGTAATTACCCCCATTACCCCCCCTTATCTTCGCCCTTGCCTTAAACGAAAATCGAAGTTCGGTTATAACTTCTCTAGATTTACATTCTTTAGGTTATGTCCAGGTGGTTGTTGCAATGGAATTTAGAGATGAACATTATAAAATCCGTAACTGTTAAGTTAATTTGCGAATTTTTTACTGCCACTACCCATCTCTAAATTCACCCTACATAACCGAATGTCGATTTTCGTTCAAGGACGACTCAGCTGCAATGAACTAGAGAGGGGTAGAAGGTAGAATGCCAGTGTGCATGTAGCATCAATAGAATAAGATGGAACTCTATGGGCGCAGCCATTTCTATTGTGCATCTCACTCGTGAGTATTTATAATAACCAATGTCTGTTTCAAATTGTTATTGTCCAGTCCACAAGCTGGTGGATCAGACAATAACCGACAATAACAATGTGAAATAGAAAATGGTTATTATAAATACCCCCGAGTGGGATGAAAAGTAATATGGCTGCGCACATATAGTCGCATCTCAAGCCTATTGACAAGTATCTACCCGACTCTAGTTCTTTGCTCAGCTGAGGCCGGCTCATCATTCACCTATCACCTACATAAGATCGCACGATAAATACTTGGCCTAAGCCTACCAAACATATTAAAAATTATATAATAATCTCACCAGTTACGATTGTACGGAGGTAAACACTTAAAAAAACTATCAAAAGTACCTACTTGTATTTAAACTGTACGGAAATAAAAATAAAACCTACTAAATTATGAAATCTCTGTAAACAACAACCAACCGATACGCTATTTTAAACATTTAATCAAGGTCATTTATATCAACGTCAAAACATACGTTTAACAGAATGATACGAGTCTCCTTGTGTATTTGGTTATACGAGGTACGGCTTAAAATATCCAACTCGACTTAGAAAATAATATTAAGGTTTTATCGAGGGGTATAGATACTAATCATTAGCAAAATATAGAACATATAGGTACATTTGAACTCAATCGACCTTTAAGTATTACTGAGTCCCTGATTTTTAGTGAATATCTCGACCCTCTAGTCGGTCACTGTGAATCACCGCATCGGTGCTACTACTGTATAAAATAAAAACGTTTTATTTATCTTAAAATTTGTGAATCTTAGTCTTAGTGTCTTAGTTTTCTTGTAAACTCTTGCAAGAACATATTACGACGACTCCTGCAGTAAGTAATTAACAATATTTATCAAAAATAAAGGATATAGAAGTACCATACTTTTGTCATTTTAAATTAATATTTAGGTTTGTAATTTATGTATATTTATCGTTCTCACGTGTTTTTAAACATTAAAATATTTTGTATGTTGCTGTAAAATAAAATATGTAATTTAGATATAATATCATGTATTATTTAATTTTATAATCGTTAAATAATTATGTATTTGATTAAAAGTGGAACGACCTAGAGATACAACCAATTAATCATCCTAATGTATTTCTGGTCACATATTTACCAGTAAAACCTTAGAAGATGGCCAAAGAGCGACACAACGAGGGTATATTTTCTTGCACGGCAATCGTGAGGAGTGTTTGTCCGCAAACTAATGTTATCGTAATTTGTGTCTGAAAGACATATGCGTTTAAGTTGGAAAACTGTTAAGCTAAGTAAATATACTAAAACTCTACCGGTTGGAACCGTTTTCGTTATTTAAACCCAAACATTGTAACGGTTGGAATTGTTTTCGTTATTTTGACACTAACATCTCTACTCAAATGTCATTTGTCGTTTATGCCTTGCGTCAAAAGTTCCCATTTAATTTCGATTCGTATCTGTCAACGAACAAGTTGATTTAAATTTTTAACTAACTTGGACATCCGATGTACTAATTGTCTTTTAATATTCTGATTGGCCGTCTGATTTTATAAGCTTGGCTATATCTAGACGGTTTAGAAGTTTAGTTCAAGCTGTATCGAAGAAGTTCATTTCGAAGATATATCTAAAACTGTTTATGGTAATTCCTATCAAAAAGTTTATTTTAAGCTATATCAAGAGGTTTGGTTCGAGTTACATATAAGGAAGCTTCTGGAGATTTAATTTTATGAAGATTTATACCTAGGAGTTTGGTGCTATCCGAAGAGTATCGTTCGACTTTGAAGAAGGCCTATACAAATCACTCCTTATATACTACCTCTTGTTACAACAGATAAGTCTATTTTTAATAAATCATCTGAATTTGAATAAGTAAATCTCTGTGAATTAGAATTTGTTGCTACCTTATCTAAAACTTTGTTTAATTATAATATCTTAATGGTTAGTGATTTTCTATATTTTTATCACTAATCGATAGTCAAGTTTAGTAAGTTTTAAATATAGTGGTGCCCAACTTTTTTTTTTCATAGTAATACGAGTTATTTAATAAGCTGACCCACTCCCAAAAACATTAGAGCTTAAAACACTATAAAAAATAGATAAAATAACAAGTATCATATTACAAGGCCTTGATATGCCTTTGACGGCGTTAACATTCACTGACGGCTTTGAGATGCCCTGACGGCTTTGAGATGCCAATGACAGCTTTAAGATGCCACTAAAGATTTTAAGATGCTGCTAATGGCTTTGAGAAGCCACTAAAGGCTTTAATATAACTAAGGACTTTAAGTTGCTTTGAGATGCCACTGATGGCTTACTTTATTTATTTTGAAATGCTAATGGCTTCATGTGTTCCATACCAACCTCGGCCTCGAAAGGGCGTGAAGATCGCGTGCTATGTATGCTTTCCTTTACACTGTAGCGATCGTTGAAGAGAACTTCTATTACAAGAGATGGACTCAATTATTTTGGATAGTTTCATGCTCTCAGTATTTTGTAGGGAGCTTGAAACTTTCATAAGCACCAGGTCTCTAATTTTATAATTTTTGAGTGGTCTACGAGGAAGAGGCCTCTCTTGTCTCGTCTCGTAGGTTAAGAGAAAACTGTTCTCTCGTCTCGACGAGAATGCGCTTCTCCCGCTCAACAGAGCCTTTCTCTCGTCTTGTCTCGTTTCTCTCGTAATAAAACATATTAAAATTAAATTTGGAAAAGATATACTTAGGACGAAACATGAAAAAACTGTAAAATTTTGAAGACAATAACAAAGAATGATTTAAGAATTTGTCTTATTAGTGCCTAAATTAGCAATAAGAAACACTTAGGAATCACCTTGGTGTCTCTCTGTCTGTTTGTCTCTCACAGTCATTTTACTCAGAGACTATTTGACATATTGGAATTTAAAGAAATCAGTTAATTAAAAACGCCGTTATAATTTTTCTGATGCCATCGTGTGATATCAAACGAAAGCATTTTGAAGCATATTGTCAAAAATATACAATACATCCATTTGTTTTACTTTTTATTTGACAGGTTTTGGAAAAAACGCTTAAAAATTTCTATCTTTCCAACTCTTCAACCCTCCAAAAGTAACATCAGAAAACTTTTACTGAATGAAAATTATTACGATTGCTGTCCATCAATATATTTTTTTTATAAAAAAAGAGAAATTTGTATCAGTGTCTCCCAGGTAAATCTATCAACATATCAACTCTCATTATTATTAATTTAAAACATCTACGGTAAAAAAACTATTGCGCTATTTTATATGGTCAAAGTTTCTTATTTAGGTAAAAAACTTGTGTAATAATGACTTGTATAATAATGACTTGTATAATAATGATTTGTATAATAATAACTTGTATAATAATGACTTGACTTGTATAATAATGACTTGTATAATAATGACTTGTATAATAATGACTTGTATAGATGACAATCTCTCGTCTCGTCTCGCATCTGTTTTCGAGAGAAAATATATCGCTCGTCTCGTCTAGACGAGACGAGACGAGAGACGAGAATATCTCGTCTTGCGGCATCACAATTTCGTAATTCTTTATAATTTAATGGCTTAAATAACTTTTCTATTTTAATTATAAACGACGTAAGTACTTTGATCTCTTAAATAGAAAAGAATTAGTATTTAAAGATTTAGATAATTTAGTTACAGATATGATTATACTGGAATAATCTAATCCAACTACCATATAATTAAATTTATGCGGTCCAGTACTTTATTTAATCCTTAATAAATGGCGAAACAGTATCAAAAAAGTATAGATCAATTTATGCTTAAAAATGGTAATATTTTTCAAAGATTGTTAAATAATAATAAATATATATTTGCTCCTTCAAAATACTATATTCTACATATAGTACAAAGTACGTTAACGGACGGATTATGATAAAGAAAGATGAGATGCCTAATTATATTTGCACGTGAGTTTGATAAAGACGGTAATTGGTTTAAACACGCCCTTTTAATTGCAAGTGTGAGATATTGCGATCCGCACTCGGCGACATATTGTTCTATTTACCTCTATTCAATAGAATTGTATTTTTCCTGTAGTCATGATTGAAAAGTTAACATATGGAATAGGTTACTCAGTTTCTAGTTTTATTACATAGATTATGTAACCAGGCCTAACTAGCAGTCGCTGCGATGTAAGTTTTCAGGTTCTATTTTTTAGTAACTTCTAGCAGTTTATCATACCATTGTGTAAATCGATCTGATTACGCACTCTTCCGTGTCCGGAGATATCGAATAAACAGTTGATGACACGCTGCTTGCTATGCGTCCCGAGTCAGCGGCCAATATGCATATGGTGGGACATGAGCGTCGCTCGTTTGTCAACTTGTCTCTTAGCCCTCTTGATCGCTTCACTCCTGAGGGTCGCTAATCTGAATAACGGCTTGCCAAACATTCTTGATGTGTCCTGAGGCCCTTCGGGGAATTTTATTGGCGACTTTTGGCTTTATTTTCGTGTCCCACGTAAATATTGTCCGCGAACGTGACGGTAATTTGTGATTTTTTCCAAAGCTGTAAGGGTCTATTAGGAGATGTAAAGGTTGCGAGTTCGTGGAGAGAAAAGACAATTTCGTGAATGGTAATGGACAGTTCGTTGAAGGGTGAATCAAAATTCGTGTTTGGTGGTCAATAAAAGCGACGTTTCTCAATTTATTAAGTAAACATTTTGTTTAGTTAAGGAAAACCTAACATTTTAGTTTAAAGAATAAAACAGACTAATAAACATTTGGTTAGTTACTGAAATGAAATCAATCTGTTTAAATTTTGAATAAAATATAGATAAGTAATGGTCTGGATTTATTTGAATCCAGAATCTACCCTTCCTTCTATTACTTTCTCTTTCTTCCGGCTCCTTGATGTGATTCGTCTATTTTAAATGGCAGCGCAAAAGTTAGTCAAACCTGTCAACAAGCACTTGGGAATTGTTAGTTTTGTTTGTAAATTTCTTGTGACTTTATACTCCCAAGGCATATTTTAGCGTGTCTGGTATGTTTTTTTAATGAATTTTATTAGTTGTAAGTTTAAAAATTACTATTCAATGTTTCGTGCCCTAAAACATAATTTGGAGAGCTTACACGTACTTTCAAAGGTAATTAAACAAAACATTTAGGCAGTACAAACATTTAGTAGAATATTAATAGTAAGTTTTTATGCACGTTTTCAACACACCTTGAAGCGTTTAAAACTTTGAATTGAAATCCTCGAAATAGGTACTGTTGAGGTTGATGAAATTAACAGAAACACTAGAATATTTTAATCTCTTGAAAAACGAGGGTTAGATGTGGATTTACTATTCTTACATAAGTTGATTTAATAAATTGTCCGAAATTGCTTGCTTTATTTCACTTTAATGTTGGACCAACAACTAGGTATGGACAATTGTTATATAAAAATACACATTTAACAAATTATGCTCTTCATAATCCACTGCTGTGAATTGAATAGCCTGTCT